TTACAATACTGTATACTGATTTTTGTTTTATTTCATAGTGACATTTGTTTGTTTAGTGAATGAAACAGCTCTCCATATGGGTRCGCTTTTTGAAGGCAGTCTTTCACATAAAATAAAATAAATTGTGGCAAAAGGTTTTTGACAATAAATACATTTAGTAATAAAACTGTGTGAAAATTGTGCAATTAAAATAAGTTTATAGTCTTTATAGTCATATAGTCTGAAATACCCCCCCCACCCCACACACACACACACAAACAAACTTTTATGAGAATTATTTTAGAGTGTATGTCGCTGCGCATGCGCACTGCGCCTCCAGCCTGACAGCAGCGCTCTGATGAAGTTCAGTGCTGAAGAGGCGGAGGAGCGCGCGGTGCGGGTCTGACAGAACTTCACTGATCCAAACACCAGCAGTTAGTCGGGTCTCCTGAAACAGCCAGCCGGAGGCAGGAGGCAGGAGGCAGGTGTTTGACCGGTTCCCCTCCTCTGCAGCCGAGATGTGTGAGTAGAAGAACCCGTCAGAGTCAGCTGGTCCTCAGCAGCAACAGCATGGACAGGATCGGGGTCTCGTTCCTGGACCCCCTGGAGGACTTTGAGTTGATTCACCGGATTGGGTGCGGCACCTACGGGGACGTGTTCAAGGTGAGCTTCCAGTATGAAAACAGAGAACATGTTGAAGAGAAGAGCTGGACTCAGTGCAGCTGGGTCTGACTGGACTGGGTCTGACTGGACCAGCTGGGTCTGACTGGACTGGGTCTGACTGGACCAGCTGGGTCTGACTGGACTGGGTCTGACTGGACTGGGTCTGACTGGACCAGCTGGGTCTGACTGGACTGGGTCTGAGTGGAGCTGGTCTGATGAGTTCTATCAGGACTCAGAAAGTCCGGTTCTATTTAACTCTGGTTTCACCTGCTACCTGACTGGATATTTAAAATAACACACTGGTTCATTATTAGTGAAATCCATCCAGATTACCAGCTCATACAGATTGTATAGTATAATCTGAGTCATAGTGTGTTGTGCTGCTTATCTTTTCACTTCTTGGTTGTGTAGATGCAGACTTCCTGTTTAGTTAGCACACCCTGCTGCCTGTGCATCCTGCACAAGCAGGAATTCATGTAGTTTTGTTGTTTTTCAGCTTCATATTCACATCCTGACTGAGCAGTTCTAACCTGCTGTGTGTCCTCTGCACCCTCAGCTCTGTCCCTGGGTTTTAACTCTTATCTCATGTGAGCTGGTGTTCAGTGGCACAGCTCTCACACACAGACTCTCAATACTTCAGAACCTTTATCTTTTCAGACATAGTCCCAAATTTAAACTAGATATTCAGCTTCTTTTAGATAATGTGGCTTATTTCTGAGGATTCATGGAACTCCACCTCTATTTAACTGATGAGGTTATAGAATAATATAAAAAATACACTAAGTTGTATTAATCAGGAAAAATCAATCTCAGCCTTACAAATATATATATTAGCTCTTTGTAAGGCTGAGATTGATTTTTCCCGATTAATACAACTTAGTGCATATGTGTGTGTGTGTGTGTGTGTGTGTGTGTATATATATATATATATATATATATATATTAGTCCCAGCAACAGGTCGGGGTTACATCAGAACACTTGTTTTATTTTACAACTTCTGAAAAGGCTGGGACATTGTGAAAACTGTAAGTTAAAAACTAAATGCAGTGATTTATGATTCCTTCCTTCCTTCCTTCCTTTGGCTGTTCCCTCTGCAGTTGACAATTTTCACACAGTTTTATTACTAAATGTCTTCTCATAGAGAAATGACATATTCATAATTGTTTTTATGCTGAATTATGAAACACAGTACTGACCACTGAGCTAACCATTTCAAATCTCAGAAACTTTTATTTTATTCCCAGTAGAACATAAATATGTATGTATGTATGTATGTATGTATGTATGTATGTATGTATGTATGTATGTATGTATGTATG